TAAAGGTAGAAAAAGCATTTGATATTGAATACTTTTCTCCTCATGTTACAACCAAGACAAGGAAGTCCATTATCACTACTTCTATTCAACACTATGGTGGACATCCTAGCCAGTAACAGAAGGCCAAGAAAAAGAAATAAAGGGTTTAAAGATTGCACCAGAAGAAGTTAAACCATCTTTATTCACGGATGACAAGACAGTCATCACAGAAATTTCAAAAGAATCTACAGAGTATTAGAAATAATAAGGGAACTTAGCAAGATGGCTGAATATGTAAAAATCAATACTGTTTCTATATGCTTGTAACAAAACAGTAGAATATAAACATTTGAAAATGCCATTTAAAATCACATAAAAAAACACCAAATATCCAAGAATAAATCTAATGATTGATATGTATGACTCCTATACTACTATCTACAAAAGACTGCCAAGAGAAATTAAAGACCACTTAAATAAATGGGAGGAGGGAAATGATATTCAGGGATGGAAGGACTCTATTGTTAAGATGTCAGTTTTCCCCAAACATATCTATAGATCCAATGAAAGCCAAGTAAAAATTCCAGCAGGTTTTTTTTTTTTTTCCTTTTTGTCTTTTTTACTGACTGGTAATGGGATCGCAACCCTCGGTGTTGCGCCCGCACCGCGCGCTCAGCCAGTGAGCAGGAACCAGTGTCCACATGGGATCCGAACCCTTGGCGGGAGCGCTGCCGCGCTCCCAAGCAGTGCACTCTCCAGTGCGCCACTGGGCTGGCCCACCAGCAGGTTTTTTGAAAGCAACAAGTTAATTCTAAAATTTATCTGGAAATACAAAGGATTTAGTAGAGCCAAGGCAATCATAAAGAACAAAGTTACCAGCAGGTTTTTTGAAAGCAACAAGTTAATATTAAAATTTATCTGGAAATACAAAGGATTTAGTAGAGCCAAGGCAATCATAAAGAACAAAGTTACAGGACTTGAAGACTTATTATAAAGCTACGTTAAGACAGTGTTGTACTTATATAAAGTTAAACAGACCAATGGAATGGAGAACCTGGAAACAGACCCACATATGAAGATATATGGTCACCTGCTTTACAACAGAAGTACCATAAGTATTCAGTAGAGGAAATGACAGTATTTTCAATAAATAGGACTGGGTCGATTGGATATCCATATTGGGGGTGGGGTGGGGGGCGGAGAATGAACCTTGATCCCTACCTCATACCATGCACAAAAATTAATTTGTGATAGATCATAGACTTAAATGTGAAAATTAAAATAAAAAGCCTCTAGAAGAAAACAGAATATTTTCATGGCCTTAGAGTAGGCAAAACCTTATATATGACACAAAAAGCATAGATCATAAAAGAAAACATGGATAAATTGGACTACATTAAAATAAAACTTGTATTAATCAAAAGATAAGATTGGCTGGCCAGTTACTCAGTTGGCTGGAGTGTCCGCTAGTTCTGCCTGCTCCTTCCCCACCCCAGGAGCCCTTTCCTTGGCCCAGGGCCTGGCCTCCCAGCCACTCCCTGGCCTGTGCCACTAACAGGCACTCTGCTCCTAGTGTGCCACTTACCCCCTTCAGCTTCCTAGTGGTCTCTGTGGTCTGGGAGAAAGAAGCAAGACAAATGGTCTTTGTTTGCTGGAGAAACGGTTGTCTGCGATAAATGAGGAAAACCACGAAAGCCTGATGTTGGAGTGTATATGTGTATACGCCCTGTGCAGAAGACAGCTGTCCTTGGAGGCAGTGGCTGGAGTGCAAAGGGTGGAAGTTGCCCCCCCACCTCCCATGGGCCTTGGGGATTCTAGGGAGAAGCTTTTTGAAGGAATTCCCAGCCTAAGTCTTTTTACCCTCAGCTACAACCCCATTGCCCAGATCAGACCTTTCTGCTGTCCTCTGCTGGGTGGGGCCACAAGCCTGGCCACTTCTGTCCCAATCATGATAAAGCATCAGTTCAAAAATTCTTGATTTGTCACCTCCTTCAATACAGACTTGGCTTAAAAAAATGACTTATTCAGATCTCTGGTCTTATTTACTTTTATTGATGACAATTTACATTAACACTTTGGGGGTAGAGAAGGATTCTGTGCCCTTTGGACAGGAGTAGAGACTTCAGACTGGCTTGGGTTCCCCTGCTTTTCTCCTTTC